AAGTGTAATTGTAAAGAAAATTATATTAAAATTAATACTTTCAGTTTGCAAAATTCATTTCATTGCGTCATAAAATTAAATAGCTTTACGGTATTTATTACGGATGAATGTTTTTTTTTTTTTTTTTTTTTTTTTTTTTTTTTTTTTTTGAAACAAACAAACAAACAAATAGAAAAAATAAATAAAATCGAATTGGCGAAATTATCGTCTTTCGTCGAATTCAATTTCGCGGATACTTCTTTTTTTGACTCTAACAAATATCACTAGTGGTTTTTTTTTTGTTATTTATTTTTGTTTGTTTTCTTTTTTTGTTTGTTTTTGTTTTTGTTTTTTTGAAAACCCTCGAAGAAAAACCGAGCCATTTTCTTTCTAACGCCCGTTTAAGTCGATTCGCAAATGTTAAACGCAGAACAATTTAAAGATTTGTAGAATTTTCACGGGATCGAGAGTCCATTTAATTTTGCGGTTCTGAGTTTACGCGTTTCCTCTATTCTAGTAGTGACTTTTCGACTACCGGGCGTCGCCATTCCAAGCTCTTAGGATGATTATTATCGTTACAGCGCGCCAGCTACACTCACGTTCTTCCCAACCCCTTGATATTTTTGTTCGTTCCTTTACCACCATCCCATTTCATCTTGTGTTGCGCCTTTAGAAACACATTTACCGTTTTATACGCCACTTACGTCTGTAATTTCGCGGTTAAAGCATTATTTCGCAAAATTCACACTTGGGATATCATGTTCTTATGGTTAGCGTTGGAATTATTGCTTCGTGTACGTGTCCCCTTCGACTTTTTATCGTTGAAATTGTTTCTCTGCCTCTTTTTTCTTTTTTTTTTTTTTCCTTTTTCTTTCTTTCTTTGTTTTATTTCCAATAAAATTTTGCAATTCTCTTGTTGAAAACGATCAATAAAAAAGAAAAGAATATGTGATTACTCGGAGCGAAAGCTTTTTTTCTTTTCTTTTTTTTATTAATTTGTTTTCTCTTTCCTTTTTTTTTTTTTTTATGTTTAATCAAAATAAAAGTATCGCAATTTCTTCTTTTCATTTTGCCAGAGTTAATTTGAAATAATACGAACAATATCCGACAGATGGCAAGAGTAGAAATCCTACAGACTGCGCAGTAGCTATTGCGCAGGTAACATGGTGGAAAGAGCGATCTCGATCAATGTTTAAGTACGGTTAGAGATCGATACGAGGATTAGTATCCGTCGAACGTTTGTAGAGGTAGGAGGAATTATTTGCTCTTCGGTTTTGTTTATTAATAACCTTGACTAAAATTATATACACAATTTCGTACGATACTATTTGTTTTAATCTTTAGAAATATATATACGGTACTTTACTATATATATATATATATATATATATATATATATATATATATATTTAACAAATCACAATCTGTTAATTTATTTATAAAAACATAATTGAGCGCTCGTTCCGTTATCATCTATCAAAAACTTTTTCATGGTCAAATATAAACCTTAGATACTATTTGTTTTTTTTTTTTTTCTTTTTTTCTTTTTTTTTCAGACCATTATTTACGATAAACTACGCGTTGTTTATTACCTATCGTACATACATGTAAGAGAGATCGAAATTAAAAAGAAAATCAATTACGCACTTGTATAAATAGGTATGTTTATTTAATCGAAATTAGTTTGTCGTTCGTTGCAATGACAAACAAATGAGAAAAAGAGAAAGAGAAAGAGAGAGAGAGAGAGAATGAGAGTGAGAGAGAGATAACAAATTAACGAAAAAGGGAATGTTTGTTCGTTCGACTTTGACGAAAGAGAAAATTCGGTTCACTTCTTATCGTTGTTTCTCTTTACTCTCTCGCTTTTACAATTGCATAGCATAGACGACGATAACATGGAAATGTAAACTCGACGAACCGCAGTGTGGTCTATACCCTTTCACCACCCTCTCTTTCCTAATGCGACCGCTATACCCTTAACTGAATTGGATCTGTTAATTGAAGAGCGCAAAGCCCCATATAATTGAAACTCCAACGATCGCCTTCCAATTGTATCGAAATTCATCCTCTTTTTGCTTGACTGTCTTCTCTCTCTCTTCTCTCTCTCTCTCTCTCTCTCTCTCTCTCTCTCTCTCTCTCTTTCAATCTATTTATGTATTTATCTCCCTCAAAAGGAAGTCGCGTTAAAAGTGGTTACTGCAAAGATCGAACACGTTCGTTTTCATCTTTTCTATTTTTTTTTTTCTTGTTTTATTTCTCTTTTTCTTTCTTTCTTTTCTTTTAACTTTTTTCGTTTATTTTTTATTTCTTATTTTTCTTCACTTTTCATTTTTTCTTTTTTCTTTTTTTTTTATTTTCTTTATTCTTTTTTTTTTCACTCTTCAACAGCCTCCTCGATCTTAACCAAAGTGTAAGTAAGCGAAAGGTAAGACAATTTTCCTCGGGTATCAAATAAGATTAATCGTTCGAGAATGAAATTATTTCAACGCTTCGAGTAGATACTACTTTGAATAATTTATCTAGTCAAGAATTGATGGTAAGTATCTAATAATAGAGAAATGAAAATCGATTGGATCTTCTTCATGTTTTCATCGTTAAATTGCAAGATATTTTTTTGTGATAATTTATAATCTCTTTGAAAATCTAAAGAAAAAATAAGAATAGTAATATAAAAATTTTTCTTTTTTTCTTTTTTTTTTCGTCTACCAAAAAATTATATTCTATCATATTGTGTGCAAATTATATAGTATCATTTATATATTAATATAATTATATTATTATATGTTATTCTATATATATATATATATATATATATATATATATATATATATATATATATCAACTTCTGAAGATATAATCATCATGGTTGTTTTTTTTTTGTTTTTTAAATTTATTATATTCCATTTATATTATATATGAATTATAATATTATGAAGTATATTATATAAAAAATATAATATATACATATATAACTTCAAAATGTATTATAGCCATCGTAGGTGTTTATTTTGAAAGTAAACGTAGAGGATGTTTTCTGTCACGATAGATAACCGTCCACTGCTTCGGAGATGAGGCGACGTTGCGAAGATGGTTGGTCTATGACCCTCGGCAAAGGGTTCAAGGGTGGAGGTTCGCCTCGTACATGCTTCTACACTCCAACGCGCTTCACCTTGCGCTCAACGTGCTCATCCAGCTGGTCCTGGCTACTCCACTCGAGGTAAACTAATCGACTAAATTGCGAACCTCGTGTCCTCTCTCTCTCTCTCTCTCTCCCCTACCATCATCCCCCCTTTCTCTGTCTCTTGCACACATTCTGTGTATATATATATGTATACATATATACTTGTATACATACACGTTTATATATATATATATATATATATGTTTACATGCATATCGTTTTCACTGTAAACTCCATCGATTTGCTTGTTGGTTACGTCTAAACATTCTACCCTTTGATCCTATGAAAGATATAATTTACTATTTCGTGTAATATATAATGCATTGTGATTTATTTTTATATTGTTTTGTACGAAATTACATATAAAAAATATATATATATAAATTAATATAATTATCGATAATTGAAGTAATACGAATTGTTCGAAGAAAATTTCTATAGTTTTAATATTGTATCGTATTTTATCGACAGAAAAAAAAAAGGAAAAAAGAAAAAAAAATTAATTTCTAATTGCCAACCATTAATCTGCATTTTTAATACATACAGAAAAATTTGTGAATTTATTATGATATTAAAATAATTCTTTAACAATGTTTGTCAATAAGTTAGAAATAAATTATATAAATTATACGACGAATTGAACAATACGACGTTGAATTAATTACTATTGTTTCTAAATGTGAAGTAATATTGTTTCTTATAATTAAGATAAGGTATAGAATTTATATAATTTATTAATATAATTTAATTTATTCGTAGAAAGCTAAAAAAAAAAAAAAAGAAAAAAAAGAGAACTTGTTTGTTAATTAAAGAAATTCTTTTACTCTTAAAATCTTTTTATCCAAAAACGAAATTATCTACGTAAAAATGTATAAGTAATATTATCTACAAATAATATCTTTAATATCATTTGTTAGTCCAATTTGTATATGTGTGTACAGGTTGAACAAGGAAGAATGGGAGTAGCAACGATTTATTTAGGTGGTGGTGTTTGCGGAGCTTTGGGTGCTTCACTTTTGCAACCTAGTCTTTATCTAGTCGGAGCTTCGGCAGGAGTATATGCGTTACTTACCAGCCATCTTGCTCATCTTTACTTGGTGAGCTAATATATAATAGTGAGCTATTATATATATATATATATATATATATATTTTTCATTATTCTCAAACCACATAAATATACATAGAGAATTGTTTCATACATTTAAACGGTGCTCGAATAATAATCCTTAGATTTTGTACTTTTAATATTTCATCAAATTTTCCAGTCATTATTTAATAAATTTAAAATAAAAAACTTTTTTTCTCTTATAAAAAATTTATCGAATTTCACGTATCTACCTGTTTACACGAATTTTTAATATCGCCGATTAACGATGTAAGATTATTCTATTCGCGTTTACAAAAAATATATACATTCATGCATACATACATACATACATACACACATACATACACACACACACATATATATATATATATTCATACATACATACATATAACAAATTCTTGATTAGGCCTTAGAGATTCCGCTCGTTTTCTACTATAACCCTACGGCTATATTACGAAGACAAAGCGTATTTGTGTGATGTGACACTATGCGAAAACAACTCTGATATATAATCCAGTACGCTTGTCACAAAGGCGTTACTGTGACATGGCTATTGTGAAATGGATTTACATTTCGCACAATACAATATAGTCAACGTGTAGTTCGAGTTGGACAGAGTCCGTATAACTAGTTCCTTCTACTGACGAGAACTGGTATTATACGAGATGAACGAACAAACGTAGGAACAAATAAATAAAAAAAAAAAAAGAAAAAAAAAAGCAAAAAAAATGTCGATAATAAAAGGTCAACATTTTGTTCGAAAAACTAACAAATGCGTTCGTACGATCGTTATAGAAAATGGATAATATTTAGGGTTTTTTTTCTTTTTTTCTTTTTTTTTCTTTTTTTTTTGGTTTTCTTGAAATGATCACTTTAACCTATCAGAATTTTCATTCTAAGATGAAGTATAGTTAATTTATTTACAAAATCTATACCTTATATGATTTTTCAAATAACGTGATACATCTTTTTTCAATCCATTTTTTTTTTTTTTTTATTATTATTTTTATTTTTATTTTTTATCGAATATCTTCAATCGACCATTTTGTTCGACGAAGCTCGATATAAAATAAAAACGTAAGTTTTATAAAAGAACGTTTAATAAATATTTTGAAATATTAACGGAATGAATCTCCATAAATGTGATGGGGGTGGAGGAGAGGGGGAGGGAGGGAGGAAGATTACGTGAAACACGTAAAAGAATGTCGTTTAATCCGATTAAAATAAAATAATAGAAACTGTATCGTTACAGTCATATATAAATAGACGGTAGAAACTAAATCGTAATAACAAATAATGAAATGATTACGTCGTAAGGATCTAATAAATTTGATTTTAACGACTGGCCATTTTGTCCTTTAGAACAGTGTCGTTGAATTAAGTTAAATAGATTTAAATTAAATTCTCGTTTGATGGTGAAACAATCTTGAACGTTTTACGGTGATATCCGTTTGACAATTTAAAATGTATCAATTAAGGAAATTATTAACAAACGTTTGCAACACAATTGGATACATTCGATGCGACATTAAACGTTTTTTCTTAGATCAATTTTTTTTTCTCTTTTTTTTTTCTTTTTTTTTTTTTTTTTTTTTTTTTATGGAGAAAGAAAAAAGAATAAAGAAAGAAAGAAAGAAATCGCGAAGAAAACTTTTGTCGTAAAAGAAATCCCATCGTTTAACGCAAGTTTAAGCTCGAAGGTCAAAAAACATTTAAAAAAAAAAAAAAAAAAAAAGAAAAGAGATTTTGCAATTATTTCAAGGATTGTTTCGTAATAAATACCGCGCTCGAACAAAATGGCGTCCAATTGATCACTTCGCCCTCGAATTTTCCGTTCATTTTAATCCGATCTTTCCACTTACAAAAGGATGATATATTTATATGTATATATTAACAAAAAAAAAAAAAAAAAAAAAAAAAAAAAAGAGAGAGAGAGAGAGAAAAAGGAAGAAAGAAATATGAAATCAATTTTTGTAAAACGATATCCGAGTACGATCGCTTACAATTAGTAAAATCAGATAATAACAGGCAGATAGATAAAGAGAAAAAAATACGCGATCGAAACTATTAATTCAGGGATTTTCAAAGTGCAAATCTGTAAATAATGTTCTTGAATTTATAGAGATGATGAACTGATCGAATTACGAAAAAAAAAACAAAAAAAAATATATATATATCCAAGCCAAGAATTCTTATCGCAATAAACCAATTAATTGATTTTTATGAAGAATTATCTTCACAGGAGATTATTTTTTCAATATTGCGCACGAACATGCTCAACAAATATTTTCATTATTTAAAAGTACTTATACGTATGTGCGTAGCAAACTTTCTCGATCGTGAGTATGAACAAATTCAAATCGAGATCATAATTATTAACCTATGAACATTTATAAGCGGTTTATTAAGTATAGACTTAGAACTTAGAACCGAGTCTTAATAATATTATTAAAAATAAATGACAATTGCAGAAGTCGTACACTTCAAATTGATTAGTTTATTTTCTGTTATTACTTTTTCTTTGTTTTTTTTTCTCTTTTTTTTTTTTTTTTATTTATTTTTATTTATTTTTATTTCATTTTATTCGTTATTTTTATTTAATTATATTCTTGAAATGTGTTAATAAACAGTTCGTAATAAAACATAATTATTGTCATAAACGAAGAACGATAACTTTAATAAAATTAGTATAATATTTTCCCTTGTGTGAAATTTTTTATCAATTTTTCTATAAGACCTTTTCTTTTTGTGTCCGTCAAATATTTTGAAATTTACAATTTGGCCCACCTTAAAGAATGTTTCCAAACTTTTGGAAACTCTTGTGTTGATCAATCGAAACTGTTTCTCTCTCTCTCTCTCTCTCTCTCTCTCTCGTTCTCTTTTTTAAAAAATTTTTTTTTTATATAATTCCGTCCTCCACTACACCCTCTCGCCCATTTATTTATTGTTACAGTGTCACGGTGAGCTACGTTACGCAGGATGGCGTTTAGGTGCTGTCCTGTTACTCGCTGGAGCAGATGTCGCATCATTACCAATACCAACCTTATTGGGCTGCGGAAGGGTTGGTTGGGCTGCTCATGTAGCCGGTGCATTAGCAGGACCACTTCTGGGTCTTGCAGTTTTCCCTAAACAAAGCAAGAAGGATTCACGAGGACGAAGATTCGTCAGATTCGTTAGATTAATATCTGGCGTTAGCGTTATGTTATTAATAGTTGGCGCGATATTGGGTA